GCACCTTGGGAACGTTGTGGATAGGTTCTAGTCAGTATTCGTGCTACCATGTTGCTTCTGGTTGTGTTCCTTATTTAGTTATGTAGCTGCCTTGATCTCCTTTGGGTGGTTGACATTGGGTTGGTATGTCAATTCGTTGGAGAGGCGTCTCACGGTTCGTGGTTTCGTGTTTTTTCGTTGATCTTGAGACCTTTGGAGTTGCCCTTAAGTACTTTACGATCTGTTCCTTGGTGTGACCTTATGTACGGTCCTTCTTCGATTCTTCTGGGAATGTTCCTGATTTCGGGGATGAAATCCCTTTAAGGAGGGTAGGTTGTAATGACCTGGTCATTTCCTTCCTTTCATTTTCCTCAGAATTTTACGGATGAATTTTTTTCATTGAAATTTCTTTTCTGAGTTCAGTTTCCCATCTAATATTGTCATCTTGAGTGCTCGGAAATGGTTTCTGAAACTCTTTTGTTCAGATTAACAACTTCCTTTGAGGACCGAGTCATTTCCGCATTTTCATTTTTTGATACTATTCACTTTTCATCCTTTTCCCTGTTTCGTCTTTTCTCCGTTTGTCACATTGTTGGCACAACCTCACTTCTCATGCTCGGAGTTGGTTTTTGACTTCACATGCCTTCATCCTAAGTGGTTTCCATGAAATACGTATCTTTACTTTTGCTACTCTGGTTGCTCCCGGTGTCCATAGGGGCATGGATACACAGTTCTTTATAATCTTTTTCTTTTCTTGGGGTGTTTTTCATAAATATATTTTGAAGATATTTTATTTCAGCAGTATCTAAGAAAATATCTTTTGGAAGATGGTCATTGTGCAATTAACGAAAGTTATTGCAAAATATCTTGTTTTAAGCCTAGATTCTCATACGGGATTCATTTTCACATTTCATCGAGTCGTGAACTCATAGAATTTCCTTCTGGTCATTTTTCTCCAGTTTCAGGGTTTCTGGACCCGGTTGCCGCCGAACTTGTTTGGGGCATATCTCTCTGTTCGGGACTCGGTTTTTAACGTCGTCTCTTCTGTTGATCATATTTTCTTATTTTGAATCTTTTTTGTTCAAGGAGTTTTGCCGTTTGAGCGCGTCTGCTCAAATTCCACTTTTCCAGACCCGGCAGGGCCCTTTCGGGGCACTTTTAGGGTTATTCTATAAATAGGGTGACTTAAGAAGAAAAACTAGATTTTTCTCTTCTTCTTCCTCTCTTGGCCGGCAGCCATGGAAGACCATAGGGCTTCCACCTTCTTTCTCCTCCTTTGAACCACTTTTCCTTGGTGAAAAGTCTTCGGCCTTAACGTTTAATGCTCGCCTTGACGACACAAATCTTTCCCCCTTATTAGAACCAATTTCAGACCATTTTGTGAGTTCAGGTTTGAAGTCAACTTGTGATTTTCATGGGGCTTCCTTGGGATTCATGTTCATCGTGTTGTCCCTGACAAAGCCTAGAAGTTTCGTCGGATTCAGAGCAGTTTCAATTTGGTGGGGATTTAAGATTTCATCTCAAAATGAGGTAGTGGATGTCTTAGGTTTATATTAATGTTGTATTGATTGTTATATGAGCATATACAACTTGTAAACATTCCTTTGTTCAAGTTTTAGAATTTAATTTAATTATTTTCTATGTTTAAGATTTAATTCACATGGATGTATGTTGCTTAGAATTAAATTGTGTCATGTTAGTAAATTAGGCCTTGGTACGTTTGTTAATATATATTAAATTTGGGGCATTTGAATAAGAATTGTAAAATTTATTTAATATTTATCTTTTATGAAAGATTAATTCACATAGTTGTAACAAGTATGAAATCAACTTGTAATGTAATATTAAAGTAGGCCTTAGTGAGTTCTTTAACATATGTCAAATTGAGGACATTTGGATATGTTTAAAAATCTAGAGAAAAATTAATCAATTAGCTTAATTAATTTTGTTTTAAGTGTTGTGGTCACTTAAATTGCTTTTGGGTATAATGTATGTGAAGACCATGTTATGACTTTTAACATATATTAATTTGAGCCTAGTTGGAATTGACTTGAAATCTAGAGACTTTTCATGATTAGGTTGATAATCCCTTGGAATGGAATATGTTTAATTACCTTGTGAGCATGCTACTAACTTTTTATAGAATTAGTACTCATAATCTCTAAAGATGGTAATTTGACTTAGCATGATAGGTGATATCATTGTCTTGAATAGTTTGTTTAAATATATCTTGTGTAGGTATATAACTTGTTAGAATATTACAATTGTTTACTTTGAAAGCTTGATACTAAATTGTAGCCTATTTAGTACTTGTGGTTTAGGAGGGTAATGTGGCTCAATTGTTGTAAAATATTCTTGTTTTGTGTATAAATTGCATATTAAGGACATGACATATCATATGTTATTTAGATTTGAATTCTATGACATGAATTGTGTGGATTCAACCTTACTTGTGCATGGAATGTGGAAATTTGCATTTGATTTTGTATAAGTTTTGAACTTATTGTTTTTGGAAAGCTTGTGAGGGCATAATTTATATGATGGCTAGGGTTTGACTCTAGTACAGAGGTAAGAGTCTTCTAAGTCATAAGTGCATACTAGGTGGTACCGTGTGGGTCGTAATTACCCAAAAATACTTGCTTGGTCTAGCAACCGCATGTCCTAGTCTTTCCACTATTTGATTTCGCATTTAATTTCAAGTTGTTAATCATGGATTACTTGTAACTTGAGAATTAATGATTGCCTTGGATATTTGAATCCTATTTAGTATACTTGGACTTGTATACTTATTCCATAAGTTTCAGTTTCATTTGGTATATTTGTGCCATGTATACTTGTTTTGGGCGTATCTCTTTTAGCTTAATATACTTGTGTTCGTATACTTGATTTACGAGATTTTCATATAAAATGTATACTTGTGTACATATGCTTAGGCATTGCAAGACTTGTCTTAATATGGTTTAGTATACTTAGAAATGTATGCTTGTATGTTGTATAACATGTTTTAACATTGCATAGTATACTTTAGCATGTATACTTGTATGCCGTTGTTCACTTTAAATTACATGAGTAACTTAGGATGATCCCTGAGTCTCACTTTGACATAGACGTTAGGTGGCATGAGTCCCTTTAACATGTTTCACTTTAAGGTGATATAATTATAAAATGTTAGGTTGATGCATGCTCATCTCATACGAGTAGCTTTATCTTACTCACCCACGTAGTGGGGACATTTTTCAGGTACAGGGACCTTGATTTGGGATGCACACTACTCCATGGAAGTTTCATAGACTTGGAGTATCATTCTCATAAAAATGTTAGCATGAAATCCTATTTATAGCTTTGTATGATAAAACTTGTAATTTTGTTCCAAATATGTAATGTGTACATAAGTACACTTTTTGTAACGTGTTTGACGTGTATGACATATGGCCAAGGGCCATAAACTTTAAAGTTCAAGTGTATGTATGTAAATTCTAAGTTTTGCCTTTGAAATGTATTTTTATCATCTATGGAGGTTTGGCATGTCAAATTTTGTAAATGATATGTAATGAGGCCATGGACCATTGTATCACACTTCAATATACAAAGGACACTTGTTAGCATGCTTACATAGTTTTAAAGTTTGTTTTTAAACCATTCCATGATGGGGTTTGAGGCTTGGGTGAAGCCTTATCAATTCAAGTGCATAACAAGTGTTTTTGCACCTCTTCAAGTCATTTCGGTCGTTCGAAACTCTATTTTGGTCAACCGATGGCTTTTGGTATTTGTTTGAACATCAAAAGCACTCATTCCAGTAGCCAAAATTGTCATTCAGGGCATTTCGGTCGACCGATGGCTTATTTCGGTCGACCGATGGTTTGTTTCAGTCTACCGAACCAACCAACCCTCAAAAACATGTTTTCCGAAAAAATTTTGCCTAGTTCGATCTACCGAAACTCTATTTCGGTCGACCGAAATAGCTTGCTTGCACACAGTCTCTCTGGTATGTTTCAGTACTGAAGTTCCAAATTAAACGGTCATATATCCTTCATTTCTAATCCAAATGGGGTGATTATTTAGCCTAAACTCATTGATTTTGAGTCAGCTTTCCAATGGTACCAATTCCATTTTCAGATTCCAATAACAGTGAGAGTTATTCATGTTTTAATGAGAGGATGCCTGTTTCCGCTTAAAACGGGAAAGGGTGTTTTGTGAGATTCTTGTCCAAAGTTCTTAGAATCTCTTGAAATGTCGTGAAATGATTAGTATAGGTTGTGGTTGGAGTCAAATTTCCCTTCTTAGTTGTAAATTGACCATTTTGCCCTTGATTAATGGGTTTTACTCGTTTTTCTTCATCTTATCATTTTTCCTTCGTTCGGACTCCGAATCATGCAATTCTTTAGTCCATCTTGATTAATTTTTTGTTGTCTATTCAGTAGTGTGCACGATGGCACCCATTTCGGGGTAAAATAACCTTTTTACCCTTGGTCCATTTCTTGTAGAGTTTTGAAACCCTTGTTTCATTCTTGCTTCTGTTGAGTCATGGGACTCCTCGAGAAGCCATTTTTTTTGTGTCTTAGGGATGATGTACATCTCTAGAGGCCATGGTTCTTTTTAGCTTTCACATTTTTTTTTGGATCCATCTCGGGTCATCACAGGACACACTAGGTTTGTAAAATTCAGGGTCATTACAGTAACTCCCGCAACGAGGGCGTTGCGAGTTCGGGGTGGGGAATAATGATTGATGGCAATGGTCATCTGATGTATATATTTGCACAAGATTCTGAATATTATTCGTTCCACTGTATAGCTTTTCAATGCATGACCATGTCCTCTCAGATTTTATTATGTTCTTCGGTTCTTCCACAACATTGCCATTCTGATTTACATTGCCATTTGCTCACAAAAAACTGAGTATAAGCTTACATGAACAATAAATAAAACACACGCACATATATATATATATATATATATGATAGGACCTAAATTAATTGAACTGTATATGAGTTTGGGTATGGAGGAACGAAAACTTCAACAGCTTCTTCTAGCACCTATGTGACTTTCTTCATTGAATCAATTTATTATGAATGAACTAACACCTATAAGCACATCATCATAACATTTTCACACTGCAAAAAATAATAATAATAAATAAATAAATAAATAAAAAATAAAACCTGATCACAAGCATATATAAACAAGCATGGCAATGTGATAGGATTTAAATTGATGAACTAATATGTGAGGATGGGTTTGGAGGAACAGAAACTTCAATAGCTCCTTCAAGCATCTGTGTGACTTTCTTCATGGTTGGCCTTAGTGACGGATCTTCCTGAATGCACCAAATCGCGATCATGACAAACTTCTCGAACCTCTTCATGTCATCCTTAGCCTCCTCATCATTTTCCACTAACAATCGAAGTTTCCCTTCTGTGTAGCAATCACTTGCCCAGTCAGACAATATCATTTCATCTTCACACTCCCCGTTTGGTTCAACATTCCTCCGGCAGCAGATGAGCTCTAGCAGCAAGATACCAAAGCTGTAGACATCTACCTTGATTGTAATAGGCATGTTCCTGAACCATTCAGGGGCCACATACCCTTTTGTTCCCCTTATTCCAGTTGTGGTTCGAGACTGATCAATCTTCAGAAGCTTGGATAATCCAAAATCAGATATTTTCGCTGTGAAAGACTCGTCCAGAAGAACATTTTGAGGCTTAATGTCACAGTGTATGATTTGGGTGCTACACTCGTCGTGCATGTAACACAGCCCTCTTGCAGTTCCAAAGGCAATCTGTATTCTTCTGTACCAATTAGGCCTTGAATTTTGGAACAGAAAGCTTGCCAAAGATCCATTGCTCATGAACTCATACACCAATAGCCGGTGTTCCCCATCGTTGCAGTATCCAAGAAGTTGGACTAAATTCTTGTGATTAGTCCGGCTAATTGTGCTCATTTCGGTTTTGAATTCGTCCTCTCCTTCACTCACCATCTTGTCTAACTTCTTGACAGCAACTATCTTCCCATTTTCATTCTTCAGGAACCCTTTGTACACTGTCCCTGAAGCACCACTACCAAGTTCTTCATTGAATTTATTGGTAGCTTCTTCTAGCTCATTGTAAGTGAAACTTCTCAGATTCAGGCCTGGCACTACAGAGTATGGTTGAAGCATCTTTGTTTTTCTTCTATTGAAGCCGAGCAAGACCAAACGGGTTGACACAAGTAAAACAAAGTTCAGCAACACAGAGCTGCCCAATAGCACTGATCCAGAGATGATAAGAGTTGATTGATCTTTCTTCTTTTCTGGCCTTGCACCTGGAGATGTTCCTGTTGAATTCTGTTTCCTGATTTTTATCAACGCTTTTCCACCAACACTGGGATCAATCCTCCCGTTTGAGAGAGGATTCTTCTTCTTCCAACAACTACCACCTCTAAAAATAGCAACAGCACAAAAACAATCTCTCAAGCACTCTTCTCTGCACCAATCTTCAGTCACTGATTGAAAATATTCATAATCAGAATCCGGCCAGTCTGTGTTGGTCATGTCCTCGAAGCCAAAAAGATCTGTTTCTGGTGATACTTCAGCATCACAATTTTGGGGAATGAAGTTTTGCTTGCATCCACTCACTACATCATTTGGATTCATTAGGATGTATTCGGGCGGGCAGTTGCATATTGGTCTCCGATCAGCTCCTAATGTGCAGTAGCTGTTGAACCCGCAAGCCCCACCACCAGTATCTTGCCTGATGCTCATGCATATGTCTTCAGGTAAAGTAGAAGAAGGCGACCATTCCATACGCCTTCCACCAGTTGAGCCAGCAGATTTTGGGTAGACGTAATAGACGAGAACTCCATCAAATTCAAGAACAGCTCGCTGGTAAAATTGGCTTGGTGAAATTGAATTTTCGAATACATATTGTAGTACGCTTCCATTACTTGCGGTGAGGTAGACGTAGCCAGATTGGTTGAAGATCACCTCAAAGCCACTGCCCGCAGTTGTGGTTGACCAATAAGCTTTATTGGTTGTATCCAGAGGAAAATTTAAGGTGGAAAGCACCAGATCTCCACTGGTTTGCAGCTCAAACTTGAATCTTCCACTTGAAAGATTTTTGTTAGAGAAGCTAGAGACGAGCTTTTTGCCTCGACTCAATCTTTGTGTTGGTAACATTGTGTCTGTTGGATTATCAAAACTCTGCCACAAAAAGGCAGAAGTATTGGCAGAATTGTTGCTTTCTAGCACGAAGTTTCCACTGTCAAGCATAGCTCCATAGGCTGCTCCGCTGCCCAAATTTGCAGACCATATATTATTGCCATTTGGGTCTTCGAGAACAAACCTGCCATCTGTAGTGAGTTGAATTTTGGATCCTTCTTGTGCTAGATTGTCGCGTTTGGCTGACCAAACTATGGTTTTTTCAGGTATTTTGTTGAACCAGATGGCCAGATGGAAACCTCCAGTTCCGTTCATCCGCCGGAAACCAAAAGCAAAGTCGCCCGATGGTGATACCCATGAAGAGTTATCGTCAGTGGCAGTGAGTGATTCACCCAAAGTTACATTGCTGGTACGGGCAATTGTTAAGTATGGCAGTGAAAGAAGGATGAAATATATAGATACTGCGAAGGCCATGGTTTATAGAAATTGTTTAAGTATGGCAGCAATTAAATACTTGCATGCTAGAATGAAACTTCAATATCATCTTCATGTATGGATTTATTAAAGGAGTGACTTTTCTTCATCGGAGTATTACGCAGAAGTTTCTTTATTAAAGGAGTGACTTTTCTTCATCGGACTATTACGCAGATGCTTACTTTATGTTAACATGACTACCGTACGTGTTAAATACTATCTGATATATTCAAAGTAAAAGTACGTGTGGAAAGTTTTGATATATCAATGGCGCGCATTTTCCATATAGGCGTCTAGAACTAGAGACACATATTGGTACTACACATTAAAAGCAGAAGTGTCTAACACTTGGAACAAAAAACCTTGTATGGTGATATAAGTTTAAACCATATGGGCAGTATTAATATAAATTCCATTTGTTTTTAACTTAATTGAGTTGTATTCGCTCTTATGCGATTTACAATTTGTTTTTGACACAACGAACTTTTTTTGGTTTGTAACTGAAAATAATTATCAAGAACTCTGAAAATAAAAAATTATTTTTAAAAACTATAAAAGATTTTTATTTAAAAACAAGTTTTTTTATAATTGTGTTTTCAGAATTTATTTTGAACAGAGTTTGGCTAAAAATTTGAGTGCCTCTGGATTTTTTAATTTAGTAAATAATCTAAACAACATCTTGGTAGAAAGGGTAGAATGAAAGTTCAACATCATAAAAGGGTGACTTTTCTTCATGGACTGTATTATTAGCACGCCAGCTATCGCGGAAGTTTCAATTCTCAGTTTTATTCTGATTTGGTAGTATTGTTGATGCTTACTTAATGTTAATTGAATCATCTTTGACTTGTTCACGCACAGCATAAAACTATTTAACTGATCAACGACTACGTCAACAGTAACAGCTAAATGTCTCTGTCTGATATATTCAAAGTAAAAGTATGAGTGGAAACCTTTGATATATCAGAGGCGCGCATTTTTCATGCAGGTGTCTAGAAACACACATATTGGTACTAGGATGTTACCTTCTATAATGTTTCCGATTATTTTTCTAATATTTATTTTTAAAATTTTTGAGAGTATTTTTATTTTTTTTTCGTTTTACGTGCCGAACACCGTGGGGTGTGCCGGATTTCCCGAGAGTTGGTTAGGAGTATTTCCTTGAGTTCAGGACCCTTGAAAATGTACTGGTTTTCATTTTGACATTTTTCTGTTTTTTGGACCGAAAAATCTCGAGTGAGACCCACCATTGGATTTGTTGTGTGCTGGAATTATGTCATGGATCCATTACATAAAATGTATTATTATTTTATGTATAATATTATTTGGTTGTGTGTTTAATTATATAGTTGTTATATATATATATATATATAAAAGTCAAAAAGGCCATATTTATTTTCTGATGGGCCCCACTTGAACTTTAGTTATCTCAATGACCATTTGGTCATTCACAGCCAGACCACTTTCTTCTCTGCAGCTTCGTCTTTTCCTCTCTATTTAGTTTTCTTTTCCTTTTTACAACTACAAGCATTGATCTAAGCTTTGCTCTTTGGGAAATTGAGTACACCCTTAAGCAAAGTCGGAGTGCTTGTCGGGACTATCGTTTTGATAAGAGTCAAGCACCATTTGGCCAAGTTTTGGGATTTCAAAATTAGTGTTTGAATTTGGAGATTTTAGAATTTTTCTACAATTAAGAGGTACGACTTTTTAATTCACATTTTTCTTAGATTTTTGTGAATTATTCTTCATGAATTATTGTATAGTATGCTTAATTCGTGTAGATCCTTACAAAAATAATTTATTTGTTGTATATGTGATATGTGATTATGTGTTGGTTGTCATTTTGTGAAAAAACATGTCTTAAATGATTATATTCCATGCCTTATGTATTTGAGTTGCACGAAAAATAGTAAGAAGCATGATATGTGTATTATATAATTTTTCTCCCAATTGTGTTTATGATTAAGAATTCAAATGTACAAAGAATTATGATGTTTAAGAGGCATAGTCCATTTATGCATTTTCATTGAGCATGGAATGGGGGAAAAGTTGTTTTAAAAGGCAATGGAATTGTTTTGGGAAAACGTTTTTGGAAAGTGTTTGTGAAAACAGGACGTCTAGGAGGCGTCTAATGGTCCGTGGTATTAATATGACTTAGAGGGAAATAGAGAGAGACTCTAGTGTGGTTGAGCTACCTAGGCCCAAACGACTCCATGAAGATGCCATATGGTCGGGGAAAGCTAGCCAACCCTTCCCTCGTGACGCCATAAAGGTGCTATGGGTCGGTTTGCATTAACGGTTTGGAAAGGTGAAAATGAATTGTTTTGAAAAATAGGGAGCGACATTGGCATGATATTACACTTCATTTGCATATTTTGTGTATTTGTGTTACAATGATTGATGAAGATTAGTCGGCAATGATCCAAAACGATAACATTTTTCCTTGACACCGGTGTGGTGCCTGCCAAACAAGCTCCGATGGCTAAGTCAATTTCCAGAATAAAATAAACAATTCATGAATTGGAGTTCAATATTGCCGAATTCTAGGTTGCGGATAGTCGGGATCGTGTTATAAATTCTCATCACTTTCTAATATGTAAATGTTATGAGCAAAAAAGAAAAATTATTTCTTTATGTTAGTTTCTAAAGAAAAATTATTTCTTTATGTTAGTTTCATGACCAAGTTGCTTTACCTTACTAAATAGCTCCCTAATAAATAATGATTAACAAATGAATTTATTCAAAGCAACAACACAAAACTAACTCAGTAGTTGAGTTCATGACAACTAAATTCTTAAAATAGAGACACAGTCACCATTAATGTGGCCAAACATCTGCCTTTCCTAGTGTGAACCCATTTGCAGTAGACCCCTTTTGTTCTCAAAGGAGTTATAACTTATGACCACTGATATCTGGGTGAGAGATGAGTGATGAAGGGGCAGAGCAAATCAAGGTCAAAAATCGAGCCTAGCCCTCGCTGCATCAGTTCGGTTTCGGTGGCGCCCGGATGAAAGAGGAAGGTGAGTTCTAATCCAATTGCAAGTGAATTGGTTATGCTAGAAATAAAAAAAAAAAATTAAAATAAGTGATCTACTGCAAATTGCAAGCAGTGGTCGCCCTCTTTGGTGAGTGGGTGTGTTTCGGCTTCAACCTCTTTCTATAGATATATATATATATATAATTGGAACTATAAAGGGAAAAAAATAAAAAATAAAAAAACTCCTCTAAACAAGAATGTGATTATGTAGAATTTCTGCTCAGTGGTGCCTAATCCAATTCTAGAACAATTAGAACTCCAATGCAACATATATATATATATATATATATATATATATATATATATATATATATAAAATTTATTTTTTCCTTTTTTGAATTCTAAAACAATTAGAATTCTTGTGTAGCAAGAGACTGAATTTCAATCCTACTTTGCAATTCTTTATAAATCGTACCTGAATAAGGTCTCAGAATAATTCTGTCATTACTGTCTGGTGAAGAAACTTTAGTAGACTTGCAAATTTATTTATTTATTTATTTATTTATTTATTTATTTATTTTTTTTAGAAGAACTTCTTCACATATATATATAATTTATATATACATATATATATACTGGATTCTTTGAATCGCCAATCTTTCTTTCTTTTTACTCATCTCCTATATTTTAGTCAAATTTGAAAACACATATAATACATGTACTAAGTCCGCAACAACTACATGACAAATATCGGATCTTCAGTGTGCGATTCGTTACACGCTATAATAATATATTTCAACATTAAAAACATAAACTCGTGAATCTAATACTAGTCCAAAATCATGATTTAAACATATAACCAATGTAAAACACAAGATTAAATCATTAACGCTATAGAAACGGAATTAATTTCTTTGAGTTTCAAATTTCAATCAAATGACCCCCTAATTAACACATGTTAAACAATATTGCATGGTCATTACATACATCCATTCAAAATCTTAATTAGACCAATAGAATAACAAAGTAGAATTTAATTAAATCATGATAATTAAATTTCTAACTTCTAAAGTAACTTCAAATGGTCTCAAATTAATATATGCTAGTATACATGTCCTAGTCATCACCAATATCAAGTTAAAAACTTAATTAAACCAATGGAACCTTTAAATAGATTTTAATTAATCATTTTAATAAAAATCTCTAAATTTTCATACTCATCCAAATGCTCCAAAATTAAAGTATGTTAAAAAGCATGACAAGACTTAATTTAATAGCATATCACAAGTTAATTTCATGCAAGGTACGACCATAATAATTAAACTTTCACAAAAGAAAATTATTAAATAAAAGTTGCAATCTTTATTCAAATAATCTCAATTTAATATATGTTAACAAACATACCAAAACCTAATTTACTAGCATACCACAATTTAATTTTAAGTTGAATACATCATGAGAATTAAATCTTAAATATAGAAAATAATTAAATTAAATTCTAGATTATGAACAAAGCATACATATAAGTTGTATAAGCATCAATAGCATGCAAAACAATAAAAATAATAACCTATAACATTCTCTACCTCAATTTGAGATGAAAATCTCAAAAGCCACCAAAATAAAATCGCTCTGAATCTGACGAAACTTCGGGGTTTTGTCGGGGCAACATAGTGAACGATAAACTCCAAAGAGGACATACTAAAATCCTAACTTAACCTCAAACCCAAACTCAAAAAATGGCCAAAAACGGATTCTAATAAGGGGAAAAGATGCGCATAGTAAAGACAAGCATTAAACACAAAGGCACTACGACTTTTTATACGAAGGAAGAAGGTTTAATTGTGAGAAGAAGGATGACAACCCCCTTTGGGCTACCATGGATGCTGATGGATGTCCATGAAGAGAGGGGAAGTTGACTTTTTCAGTTTATAACACCCTATTTATAGTAAAACCCTAAAAGTGCCTCGAAAGGGTCCCGCCGAGTCCGGAAAAGTAGAATTTGAGCAGATGCACTCAAATGACAAAACTTCGTGAACAAAAAAGAACAAAAATGAGAAAAGATGAACAACAAAATAAACGGTAT